GTTGAATGTACTTGGCGCGACTCAACACCCAGGTTTGTCCCCTTTTTGCTGCCTTCGTACCACCGCTTGGTGCCAAACTGCGTGCTAACCAGGCCACCACAACGGGTGCTCATTGATACAAGTAGCAGGACGGCGGCCGTGGATGTTGAAATCCGCTAAGGAGTGTATCACAACTCACCTGCCGATCAATCAGCCCCAAAAGATAACGCTGCAGCTTGCGACATATGCTCGACCGCTTGGGCTACTCCAACGCCTTGATGAGTTGGGGGGCGCAGGGCTGCTGCGTAGCCTGCAGCGTGAGCTTCGGTGAGGCAGGCCCTAGTGCAGATCTTGATGGTAGTAGCAAATATGCAAATAAGAACTTTGAAGGCCGAGGTGGGGAGGGGTCCTATGTGACCAGCCTGCTGCAGCCAACATTGCTGTGAGCCTCTCGACAGTGCCCTGGGCCGCCCTCAAAGACCGAAGTGGAGCCGGTTCCATGGGAACAGCCACTGCAGCCGGTATCGCTGCAGGCCTTCCGATAGTGCCTTGGGCCACCTGTGCCCAGGCACAATCCGTTTGCCGGGTCCCAACAGGCATGCTCACACTCAAACCTCTCACGGTAGCTGGTGGTAGGCGGACGGTGCATCCACATCGAGCCCCACCACCTAGGCTTCTTCCTCCTCGTGGGCTAGGCTCCCACCGGGCCTACCAAGGCAAGCGCACGCTCAAGATCCTCGACTTCCGTGACGACCATCTGTGTCTAGTAATGTAATAGCCGAGCCAGACCCGTAGGTCCCGACGTCGGTCTCAAAACCGGTCACCTAAGTCAAAGGCATCGGTAGCAATAAAAGCAGGAAAAAAAAAAAAAAAACTAAAAGCGAGGACACACGAAAAAAGTAAGGGGACGAGAGGTCGCGCGTCCCACTGGCCTGTGATGTAGCACACACCCAGATCACGCATGGTTGCACCTTGTTGTCGATACCATGAGCATGCCGCTCACCCAGGCGAGGACCTAAATTTCCTCTCCCCATGCGCGCCGTCAAGCAGATGAGGCTGCACTGGCGTGACTTGCAACCTTCCGTCTCAGTGCAGCGCTGCCCAGTAGGTCTCTCGCGCACATGCTACTCGCTGATAGCGCACAAGTGCTTCAACAACACTTCAACACTTCTCACGAATGAGCAATCTCCGTTAAATGTGGCTTGCCAGTCCTTATATTGAATTACATTGAGCCTCGATTCGTCCCAGCCTCTGCTTCCTTTGGCTTGACTTGGACCCGGTACCACATGCCCACGGTCTGCTTGCTTCAGAATGTCAAGGCCTGGTACTTTGCCCGAATTTCATTGGTGTGCTGCTGCTTGGGACTACGAGTCACAACTTTTCGTCTGTGGAAAATGATTTTTGAGTGTGGGATATGACTCTTGCCTCTGGGACGCAACTTTTGCCTGTAGAAGTGCACTTTGCCTATGGGATATGACTATTCAATATGAGACGTGACTTTTGCTTACAGAATGCAACTTTTGCGTTTGGGATGTGACTGTTTACCAGGTGCCTGTTGGACTTGACTCATAAGCTACCCGACTATGACCTTTATGAACTGGCCGACTCGGCCTCCCCTTGCTTGAGACCTTGACCCTGAAATTCGGATTTAGGGTCTGCATCGTGGAATGCCTTTCAAACAACAAGAACAAAACAACAACAATGACAACAACAACAATAACAACGACAATAACCACAACAACCACAACCACCACCACAACAACAAAAACAACAACAACAACAACAACAACAACAACAACAACAACAACAACAACAACAATTATAAGAACAACATCATACGGATCAGGAGCACCCTGAGCTTCACAGATATCTATCACAACAGAACTCAGAGCCCCACCATCGAGTCCTTAAAAGTTAAAAATCACTACAACTGGCAGATGCGAGTGCCCAAACACTAGAGATATACCGTCAACTAAGGAGGCTAATCCTTGTCAGGTGGAGTGTTGGAATCCAACTGCTTAGCCCAAGCCCTTTTGGGGTATGCCAGAGCAATGGGTGAAACTTGACAGTTGTCTAGTGCTGACGTGTAAGAATACATCCTTCTAGTGAATAAACGAATGGAACTAGAGCTCAAGTATTCAAGATCGTGGGAAGGGATCTGGGTAAACGTTTAAGTGCGAAACCAGACAAATTCAGCTTGACCATCAATGTATTTGGAATAGTTTTAGCTTTACGTCAAAATCGTTTAAAATATATAGCGGATTTGCCATGCTAGCGTTGAATTGTTTTCGTAATTTGAAAATTCGACTTATTTTCGGTAATCCATCATTACATAATAACACATGTACTATGGAAACTCTGACGCCACACTTCGTGCCGGCACACGGACAAAAAAGTTAAAGGCGTTCCCAAATTTTCTTGGTAGAGGCAACTTCGTTGCACTTAGGATCGCCGACCCTAAAGTTGACAGTTAGAGTTACTGCCGTCGTTTACTGGGGCTTCCATTCGAAGCTTATATGTCATAAACGAATGAAGAGAAGGGTCTTTCCAGGAGCGCTAGGGCCAACCTGGTTAGTGTTACTGGACCATTAAAAGGCATTGATCCACAAACGACGAACTTGGACAAAGATGATGACCACCGCGCATGGAAGAGGGCTGACATCAGCGCCCCTCCATAGCCGCGCTGTGAAGGAGACATGATAGGCGAGGGTGAGGTGGCACACAGCCCGGAAGGAGGGTCCACCATCACGCAGACCCTCCACCAGCGAAAGTGACGTGGCGAACGACACAAGCCTCTGGGGGAAGCCCCGCTCTCGTGCAACCCCTCCACTAGAGGCGCAAGCAAAGGAGAAACGCAACCGGTCATCCTGAACACACAACAAGAGGACAAGAGCCGTCCTTTGTTGGGGAACAGGAAAGAGAGTGGGACGACGAGCGAGCACAACAGCAGCGAAGAGAGCGAGACCAAAAGCGAGCACAACAGCAGGGAAGGGAGCGGGACGATGAGCGAGCGTGAAGGGAGTGGGACGATGAGTGAGCGCAACAGCGTGAGCAACACCGAGGGATACGGATCCCCAAAAATAAAAATAATTTTAAGAACAACTCACTGGCACGCCGCGGCAGGCCGGGCGACGCGATGCGGCCTGGAGGGGAAAACAATGGCCAAAAGGGGAAAAGGCCCAACAAACCAAGAGGGCAGAAAAATAGGGGGAAAAGAAAAGAACAGGAAAAAATAGCCATGAGGAAGTAAGGGCATACTCACATAGGGACACGTTTGGAAGAGCTCTCTCCTCGATTGCATTCAGATGCACGAAACTTTCGGTCAATTACATCCAGATACAATCAAGTGTGAGTGTGGCCTAAGTCATCTTAGGTCCCAATGTGAGTATGTCCCAAGAGGTCTGAGTGTCAGCATGCCTTAAACCACCAATACACGGCCTCAGCCTTGCAACAAAATAACTTATCGCCACAACATTAAAAGGAGGGCTCGGGGCATGGTTGGAGCATCAGAAGGTTTTCAAATTTTTGGGCCCATTCAAATCCGTATGTCCCAAAAAACAAAACAAGCTTTGGCCGTGATTGCAGTTGGATACACTTTTTGGAGTACCGCCCTCAGTGAGGGCACTTCGGCATAACGAGGAACACAGGGAGTACGACTGTCAGACTCACAAAAAAAGAAATTGGCCGTGAAAGTGGTTGGTTACATTTCGAACGGCGCTAGTGTGAGTATGCCCTCAGCAAGGGCGTTTTGCGCAAGAGGAATATGCGCTGCCTTGCTGGCAGGGAAATAAAGAAAGAAAAAAAGAGAAAAAAAGAAAAAACAACAAATTGAATGTTTCCCTCTCCCCGTAATAGTGGTCAGATGAACTATGGAAAGTGATCGTTTGAGTATGGCCTCCACAACGTCCTTTCACGACATCATTGACCTCTGGCATGTTTTTTCCTTTCTATTTTTTTTGTCCTTCAGGTAGACCGTCGGCATCAGTGCCACTTCCAAAATTCCCACTGCAGGTACCCACACGCAGAAGGCTCGGACAATAGCGGCGCTCAGTGGGCAGGTAGCTTCGGTCAGGTGTACTGGTGGTTTAAAAGAAAGTTGGTGTGTCTGTGTGCCCTAAGTCGTTCGACACTCCTTGGGGACGCGATTCCGAGGATTCCATCGTCGTTCCACCTGTCCTCGGAGCCGATTTTCGGAACAGAAATGTGAAAACACTTCGAGGACAAATCCTTGGGCTCCGAGGATTTCCCAGCCAAATCGTCCTCAGCTCCAAAGGACCTCGCGAGGTCCTTTGGAGCCCGAGGATCCGCGATTATCGGGGTGTTGGCGGCGAGTCCAAAAGGAAAAATGGAGGTCGAAGGTGGTTCACTGATGATCCACCGTCCGGAAGACGGACATCGCGGACCGTCCTCGTCCAAAACGTCCACCAACGGCCTCGTCATTTTACCGTTGGCGGTGATTGGCGGTACGGCCCTGTCGGTTCGTCGGGCGGCCCCACGCTGGTGCCGTGGCTAGCATCGGACGTCTTCGGCCGGGTCCTGGAGGGGTCGTGGCGTTCCCACCGGCTTCCCAACGGTCAAAAATACGGATTTTTTAAGCGTCCTCCCCCAGCCGGTGCTTGCAGCAATTTCGTACGTTGGGGTCTTCCCTCTCGCAACGTGTGTCTCCGGTCGTCGCGATCGCGACAGCACGTGTTCTGTCTCGGCTGGCCTGTCGTTCATGGCTGACCTGTACCGCAGGCTGCCTTTGCTGCTGCTCGTCGCTTGTCGTTGTCATCTTCCATATCTGCATCCTCGGTCGTGTCCCTGGGAGGAAACAAACGAGGCGAACGCCAAAAACGGGCGGGAAGATGGAGACACCACAGACGAAGACCACGTTGTCCGTCGGGGCTGGGGGGTCGTCACATCAGCGTTGCAGCACTGCGGAAGGCGGAAGGCGGCAGGCGGCTGTACGACCCAACTTTGTACAACCACCTGCCGTCCCACGAGATTCTGTTGCCTCCGAGTGACGACGACGGTGACGACACCCGATCCTCAACGGTTCCTCTGGGAAGCGGTTCGACGCAGGATTGGATGGGGAGCCAGCTGTACAGACAGACATCAACGCCGACGTACACTGATCTGCTGGAGAGGCGGACCCCCGTTGGTTATGACGCAGGACTCGTAGATCTCAGCTTCGGTTTGAGGTCTGGGAGTGCAGAGGACGTCACACACACCGTTCTCGTGAACCCAACTTCCGACACCAACCACGCACCGCCTTCAGTGGGGCTGTCGGGCCTTCCTGATACCCACGCCTGGTGTTCTGGTCAGTCGGGCGACGAACGTGGAGTCCTTTTGCGAAGGCGGGGGGCAGTGGTTACAGCAGGTGTGGCCGTGTCGAGGACAAGGACAGGTGGATCGACGACGCCAACCGGTAGAATCGACGGACGAGGGGATGACGATGAGGGCTCCGCTGCGGAGGTCGTGGGACGAAAGGTTTGGGATGATCATCGGCGACAATCCCGTCAATCGAGCAAGTCCGCCATAACGAGAGGGGTGGCGAACATTAATGTGAGGGCGGACGATGTATTCGGCGATTGCGATGGTGCAGGGGGCGAAGATTGCGCTGCAGGCAACGGGAGCAATGACAACGACGAGGACGATGACGGGAAGATGGAGATTCGTCCGATAGGGAGGAAGCGGGGAGGGTCAAGGGCCACAAACAAGTCTACAGAGCCGCGCGCGGGGCGGGGAGGCAAGAAGGGTGCGGGAGATACGTCGACATGTGAGGTAGCAAAAAGCAGGGATTTTTGGACCGTGGACCACATGATTGCTGTGATCCGAGCTAAAAGAGACCAGGACTTGCATCTGGCCGGCCTCGGCCACAACAGCGGAAGGATGAAGACGAAGACATGGAAGTGGGACGACGTCGAGAAGAGGCTCGTGCAGATGGGGTTGATGAGTAGAAAGGCCGAGGACTGCAGGAAAAAATGGGACAACCTGTACCAGCAGTTCAAAACCGTGCACAAGTTCATGGGCGAATCGGGGAAGCCAAATTTCTTCACACTAACGCCGGGAGAGAGGAAGGAGCGGGGGTTCGATTTTCGGATGGATGAACGTGTGTATTCGAAGATGAAGGCCATGTCCAGGGGCGATCACACTATACACCCCACGAATCTCGCGGACACAGGTGTGGCCGAAGGTGTTCAAATGCCCTGTCCACGTGGAGGTCGGAATGAATCCGGCGGTAGCGAGGGATGCGGGGATGGACAGGACGACGATCAGGGATCGACGAGGGATTCAACGTTCAGCGGCGTTGGTGGTGGCGGGGGCGGCAGACGGAAGAATGTAAGACAGCAGACCTTCGACACGATTGCGGACGACGGTGGACAGCGCGAGCAAGAGGCAGTGCTCAATTCTGATGAGGCAATGCAACATTCTGGAGCGAGAGCTAGAAGTGCAGAAGGAACACTACGTGAAGGCCGACCAGACGAACTTCATGATGTGCAACGCCCTTCTGGAGATTGCTAAAGCGATCCGCGAGCGATCCTAATGCCGCTGGGCCACACATGTCCTACGTCCACGCGAATGCCACGTGTGCACTTCCGGAGCATCGGCGTTTACCGTCGTCCTGCGTGCTGCAGTGCGGTGTTGGGCAGGTTGTGGAGAGACGGCGGATCGTTTTTGGCACCACAGTTTTTTTTAAGCGTGGATTTGTTGGATGAGTGTGAAGGGTATTCATTGTTGTCATGCCCTGCGGCGCGTCCTTCGGTTTTGCATTAGGACCTCCGATTTTGAATACTGTTTAACGTTGTGAGGCGTTGCCGTCACGCGTGGATGGCGATCCACCAGGGTCTTGTTTGGGGGGGTGTCGGTGAAGGAATAGGTGTCAGGGTGTGTTTTTCGGACGGGAGGGGGGGAAATGGCGGACAGGGGTACCTCGAGTTTTTGGGGGTGGCGGACGAAGGATATGTGGCGGGATCTTTCGACCTCCCCCAGGGTCCTCCCGCGCGCCCGCATGCGTTGTTGGCCATGCGAGGGATCAACAGCAGCCGGTGGGGAAAATGGTCCGTGCGTGATCGGCGAAGGGGCGGACTCTTGTGGATGGCGAGGCGTGTCCATGGTGTGCTGCGAGAGCGCGATATGTACAAAAGGAGAGTACGAGGGGCACTCCGTACGGCAATGATTCATTTCCCACTGTTCCAACGGCACTGTCTGTGAATTGAGTCGTCGCCGCAGGCCTGCACATCCGCTTCGTCGCTCCACGCTTCCGCTTTGGGCTCCGCTGGCAGTGCCCCTTCATGCGCATCAAGCACGTGCGCCTCCTCGAACGTCGCCATCATTGTCGCGGCTCCGTGGCCAGTGCCCCTTCCTGCGCATCATCCACGTGCTCCTTCGGCCACGTGCCCGTCGTCGACTTCCACGCGTCCACCATCCACGTGGTCCTTCGTCGACGTCCTCCTTCGTCCACGTGGTCGTCGTTCCCGATTTGCGGATGAGATGGCACCGAGGAACGCCTCAGGGAAGGGCAGGAAAGATAGCGGAGTAGGGGATGGGGGGGAAACCCAAAAAGGCAGAGGCCACGTGCCAAAGTCAAAAAGGAAGCGCGTCGATGAGGCTAGCTCCGAACACAATGACGACTTCCAGGCAGAGCAAGTGGTGATGGTGGATCCGCAAGGGACAACAGGGGCGATGCGATTGGGTTTTGGGCGGGATGGGGTGTCGAGGGAACAACTGTCCCCTATCAAACAGAGCATCGTTGTTGGTGGCGCCGGGATGTTGCCAAGGACCCCGAAGGCGGCAGGGGTTGTCATCACGGAGGCGCGCGTTTCGAGGCAACTTCCGGCGGTGGTGGGCCAGGGTCATCCACGTCAGCCACTCCCCCTGCAATAGGCGGGGGGTTCACATGGAGGCAAAGCACCGTCCGCGCAAAAGGGCGATACGACGGCGAGCGACACTCGTACGTCGGCGGCGGATCACAGCAGTAGAAGCGTAGTCGCCGAAGGTGCGGAGGAGGCGAGGGTCGATGACGTCCGTCACGACGATGGGAGAAGAGAAGGAAAGCGGGAGGGCGATGACGACGACGACCGTCCACTTGTCACGAGGTTGAAGGGAGCGGCAAAGGAGGACGATGTGGAGGAGAGGTCGAAGTTGTGGGTTGATTGCGACGCTTTCTGGGATCAGGGCCCGGGGAAACCATTGAGGGAGGCGGTAGGTGACTGCGCGGACTACTTTGTCGCCATCGCTAACGGAGGTGCAGGAGCTGAACCGCCTGCGATGCTCGTAATGCCGCCGAATGATGTGCCGCGCTTCAAGATCGAGGACCCTGCGAAGCGCGAACCCGCTTTGTGCAGAGCGCGCAACGTGGAAAAACTGGTGTTGCGCACCATCCACGGCTGGATCTTCAAATCGTCGTCGAGGTCGACTGGCTTCGCTTGTGCAGAGTCGTACATCAGCGTGGACTTAGCTACAGACGTCGCACGAGCAGTTTGGCAGGGATACGAATGGTCGAACGTGGTTTCCCCTACCCTGGTCTACCACACGCTGGCGATAAAGATGGACGTTCCTTTGTGGTTCGCGGGGGTGAAGATTGTGGACCGGCCTGAAGACGACGACATGGCGGCGCGGCAGGAGGCGACAATTCTTCGCATGGTGGACTGCTGGACAGATGCAGTCTGGTGTGGATAACGGGCGGATGGCGGCCGTGTGAAACAGGAGAGGTAGTCTCGGCTTGCGGATGATTGTCTTCGAGCGTTGTTGAGCGCGTGCATGTGGATCATGCGCATGGGTGGTGACGACGACCGATCGCACTACGAGGCGTGGTTCTACGCGTCCATGGTCGCCAAACCCACAATGATAGCAGCGGGGTCCTACATCTTCAACTGGCGGCGACACATCGTCGACACCGCCAACCTCGTCTTGGATCGTATAGGGAAGGCTCACCTGACGTTGGGAGATTACCCGCATTGCATTCCGGAATGGTCTGATTGTGGGTTGGTGTTCGGGCACAACGCGGCCCTGAAGAATGCAGCGGAAGCCGCGAAACACGGCTGGATCGGCAGCGGGCCCCCGGCGGAGGATGATGGAGATGACGACAGTTGACACGTCGGTTCGTCCACAACGCAGCGGCGGGGTGCGGATCGGCGACCGATTGGCGAGGGGGATCACGAAACGACCAACTGGCCGCCTTCGACTGCAGACGTTGGCGCACGGGCGGGACAAGTGTTGGCGGGTGTTGGTGGTTGAGCAGGGGGAAAGGTGAGCTGGCCGGTCCTGCGCAGCTCGAACGACGTGGCGACGTCAGCAGGTGGCAGGACTGGCAGCAGGCGGTCCAACGGCGTGGCGACGTCAACAGATGGCGTCGTAGTACATGTCTTGTGAACGATTTATTCGTGTTTTTTTTTATTTTTTATTTTTTTTTATTTTTATTTTTTATCGGAGCACACTTTACACTTGTGCTCCACAAAAGGGTTTCTTAACTCGGTGGATGACACCACCGAAATGTACGTAAACGGCAGGAGTAGTGCGTCTTTGGTGTGGGTCGCTTGAACGGTGGACAGTCAGGAGAGAAGTGGATCGCCGCCTGAACTTTGTTGTGTTGTTCAAATGATTTCCTCAAATTTATGTTTTTGTGTCGACGGCGTGTGTGTGCATGCTTACGATTGCGTACGCAGTGCTTCTTTTATTGTCGTCTGTGTGGGTTTATCATGTAACGCAGGCGTTAATGACCATCGCATGCTCGTCCACATCTTCTTTTGTATGCGGCATACTCATTCGGTCGTACGACTCGTGGCGTCGTTATCATCGCCGACACCTGAGAAAGCAAAAGAAAACAAGGAAATAGGAAGGAACCTATCCACACACTTTCATTGTCATCCTTTTATGTTTGCTGCCCGTGTTTCCCTTCATAATGCCATCGCTAAAACCTGATGATCGCGCGCACCGCATGAAAGCCAAAATAAACGAAAAAACAAATAAATGGATGGTCACCGCGCAGTTGCCGAATAAACACATCTTTCGTGAGTTTTTCTTTCATTTCTTTTTCAATGCACGTGAGTTATTAGTGGAACAACGAAGCTTTTCCGACTGCATTTAGCAAACACAAAGACGCGCAGACGACATGCATGACAGACATTCCATGTAGTTGAGAAAAAACATGTGTGCTCGAAAGAAGGATAGCAATTGAACGCACGAACATGTCCTCACACAAACATCATAAGAAAGCACACACCGTTCAAGCTCAAGGAAAACTGCGCTGTAAAGCACTTGCGAAACAGCGGGCTGACGAATTTGTTTGTGCCGCCCCCCCCCCCCCCCCCCCCCCCCCCCCCCCAACCCCCACCCGCCCCTCCCTATTTCTCGTCCCGGATTCCACAGAAATTGCGCGGGAATACCATTTCGTCGGCTACAACAACAATGAACCCGCACCACTGCCAATGATCGACGGACTGGACAACAAGTCTGCCCTCAACTACAACAAAAAACACCTAAAAACAACCTGTCCGCAACGGCGAACCCTCCGAAGCAATCATGCGCATAAGAGGAAGACGTAGGCGTTGTCGATCGATGATGGCGGAACACGAGTTGAAGGGGACAAACAGGCCGGCGGCAGGCAGGATCACATGTGTTTCATTCGCTCCGCCAGCGCATTGCGGAGCGAGTGAGCCGCGTGCGTCGAAGTCAACATCGTCACCGGCTGCGGGGGACGATGAATCCCCAGGTCCACGCGACGCCTCACCCCGTTCTCATCGACCTCCCACAACAAATTCTCGTTGAACTCGATACCGGCATCGAGCAGGATGTTGTGGAGAATGCAGACTGCCGTGAACTGTTGCAGTAGAGTGTCGAGGTTCGTCTTGTGCGTCCGAAGGAAGAGCCTCTACATCCCCTTCAACCTCCCGAGCACCCTCTCCACAACACCTCTTGCGACCTTCTGTTTCGTGTCGAACCTTTCCTCGTCCGGGTGCTGACTGATTCCTCCGTATGACACCACTACCCATTCAGAAGGAGGATACCCGTTGTCGCCCAAGATGTATCCGTTCGTCCTCACCCCTCTCGGCAGCGTGACAAGCGGCCCTCGAAACAACAGTCCCTCTTCCGCTCGCCTCGACAGACTTGACAGCTGGATCACCCTAATGTCGTGGCAGCTCCCAGGATATCCAACGAACACGTCAAGCACGCGCAGATCCAGGTCCACCACCACTTGCGCAATGACGGAGAAATGGTGCTTGCGGTCGAAGTAGTTCTCGCTCAGCGCGTTCGCCGGTTTGTCCACGTAGATGTGTGTGCAGTCAACTGCGCCATGGCAGTTGGGAAAACCCTTCTCCAGAAACGCCTGTAGCACGACGTGTTTCCGCAGCCCAGTCGGCCACGATATCTTGTCCCCGTACGCCCTCAACAAAGCGGCTGTCACATCGCGCACAGCTCGAACTCCAGAAGTCTTGCCTATGCCGAAGGATGATGTGCTGTTCTCGTATGACTCTCCTGTAGCCCACCTATAGAGCGCGTACGCGACGATCTGCTCTGGCTGAAGTGGTTCCCTGTAAAACGTCACCTGTCATTGCAAATGAGGCGCACAGGCTTCGCTGATCTCCATGAACACTCTCCTGGACATGCGGAGCTTTTCACGGAAGTAGTCGTCTGTCGCGTCATCGCACACCCGCAAATCCTCCCAAGTCCCGCCAGTTCTCCGCCTCATCCACCAACGTGGCGTCGCCCGAGGAAGCAAACCGCACCCGATTGCAGCGCACAGCTGAACCACGGCCTCCGAAGTGGCGATGCAGTCCGGGGCGTCCAACACCCTCTGCAACAGAAGCCTCTGCCGCCGCCTCGAAAGCGCTGCCTTCATGCGCCCGGCCCGGCCGCCCTCTCCAATTGGAAATGACGGACAACGACAACTGCAGCCGCCGCGACAGCTGTCTTCTCCCTCGTCGACAACACAACACGGACATCGCCATCGCAGCCCTCCATGACGCCCTTCCAACACGAAAAACAACGTCCACAGCCACCCACCTGCGTGTACCTCTGCCACCACGATTGAAGACGCCTGCAACCAGGTGAGGAGGACAGCCCTGCCTAACGATGTTCTGCCCCGGTTGGAGCGTCCGCCCACCACCGCTGAAGTAAGGAACCGCCGCGCGGCTCCACGTGGCGAGCGCAACTGCTGATCAGACGTCTTCGTTTTGCCGCGTCGACCACACTTGAGCGTTTCGCCGCGTTGACCACAGTGGTGGTGCGGCGGCGCAGAAATACGCAACGCGATGGAAACCGAAACCCTGCGAGGCGTGGACTGCCCCCTCGACGACCCGCCTGTGCGCCGCCACCACGTCGCTACGCAAGAAGAAAATTCGAATTTCGAATTTCGAACGGGGCCGTTCCCGCCTTGCCGATTTTCTTTTCCAGGGCCCGTGACGCATTCCCGTTGTTCGCCTTTTGGACCACCACGACTCCTACACGGACATCCTGATTCGGAGGCCGGACAAGCCCCTCGCGGCCGTCTGTAATCTCATGAAACTGGCCGCGGGAGGGCCCCGAGGATTCGTCCTCGGGGCGATTCTCCGAGGACAGGTGGAATGACACCTCGAAAAATCAATCTTGGACCCCGGCCTGTTCCATTTCCGGGTAGACTGTGAGGACCCCGGCCTCAAAATCTTATTGGCAATTCAAGTGCTGTTCCAAAAAAAAAAAAAAAAAAAAAAAAAAAAAAAAAAAAAAAAAAAAAAAAGTCGGACCATGAATCTTGCCTTTGAAATGGAAATGTACATTGTACACCACAAATTGGAAATGTACATTGTACACCACAAATTAGATCCATCTTGGATCCTATGCCATCGTGTCAGTGTTGATCATGGTGTACGCGGTGTTTCCCTTGATGCTTGTCCTCCCCTCTCTCTTTCCCTTCCGTCCTATCTGCTTGCATCGATCCGTTTTATCCTTGTAGTCTCCCCTCCTGCTATTACGCGCCAGGTGTGTCGCTCCCCGTTTGCACCCCCCCCCCCCCCCCAGTCGATGCCTCTTGACTCCGTCGTTTTCCTCCTCCCTGCCGCCCGTTGAGAGCATCACCACAAGCAAGGTCGTTAAAAATTTTGCGAACAAACAATGCAGGCTCATAATAGCCTCTGCTGCTACTCAATGAAGGGTGGGGGATGATGAGAAAGGGAGGCACAGCTACTGGCAGGTCCCGGTCTTTGTGTTAGCCAGACCCCCACTGGCGGCCCCAACCCTATACCCTAACCATTAGGGGCAAGGGGCAACATGAAATCTCCCCTTCACAGAGAGAGGAAACTATGCTTGCAGGGGTCCCCTCTAGATAGTCTTAGGAGTAGGTAGTAGTTGAGAGAAGAATATAGAAAAAAAAAAAAAAAAAAAAAAGGGGGAAAAAAAAAAGAAAAAAAGCATGGCAACCGCGGACCCGGACCTGGACCCGGACATGTCTGGACCGAGGCCCAGACATTTGTCTGGACTGGTCCAGACATCTGGGAATCTGGACAGGCACCG